ATATTGAGACCAGTTTTTATAGGGTAAAACTTAATCTGCTTGTCAAGAAACTGCTTCCAAATCCTTTTCTCTGCAACAAAGTACATGTATTTAATACTTGTAAAACTGTAAAAATATTTGCAAAATTATAAAAACAGTGTAATTTATAAACTGGCAAGTATAATTTCCTCTGTATGTTAAAATATTTATAATTCTATCTTGAACTACAACAGTTTAAATGGGCAAACTAACTTGATTTTGTTTAAACTCAGTGCATATTTCCTAGTTCTTAAAATATTTATGTGATGGACAGAATTACAGAGAGAGAAGAGAGGTAGAGATACAAATCAATCTTCCATCCACTGGTTCACTCTTTGAATGACCACAATGGCTGGGGTTTGGCCAAGCTGAGGCCGGGAGCCAGGAGCTTCTTCCAGGTTCCCGACATGGGTGACAGCTTACAAACACTTGGACCATCGTCCACTGCTTTCCCAAACGCATCAGCAGGGAGATAGACTGCGTGGAAGCAGAGCAGTCAGGACTTGAACTCACACCCATATGGGATGCCAGAGCTGCAGGCAGCAGCTTAACTTGCTGTGCCACAGTGCCAGTCCCACATACTGATTTATAAAAGATTTGAGTTCTCCCTCAAATACAGAAGGATGTCAAAACTATAATTTAAACATACTAATAATCACTGAAAAACTATAGAGAGGTGTGCATATGTGCAGTGTTGATAGCTATGAAATTAATCTCTAAAAGACAATGCTGCATTATTTTCTGAGCAGCAATCTTAAGTATAATTTAGCCATAGCCTGTCAGTACATCATTACTGAGTGGGTACATTTGTTTCTGTATTTGGTGTGCTTTGTTACTGCTATGGAGTTCACTTTCTGAAATATCACTCCAACTCTTCTCCATCTTTAAACTGTTATTTAAAAAGAATTTTCAGAAAGACTGCAAACTCAAGGGAGAAAAACACATTTCCATTTTGGTTTCATATTGATCTTTTTAGTAATTTTCTTGTTGGAATTGTTGACTTTTAGGTAGCAAGTGGCACTCCCTTTCCCTTTCTGAGTTCATTGGAATTGCAGCAGCCTGCACATAAATTGGTCATCTGACACTGGACTCAGGTGACCCAAGCAGCATTTTAAGCTCTGCACCAAATACCTGCCATGCAAGTGTCTTTTAAAAGGTCATCTGATATTTGAAAGTTTTCACTTGTGGGTATGAGCTGAACCACAGCAACCTCCTACCAGTAAGGATGAAAACAGTATTCAACACTCAAGGCCCTTTGACTAATTGCTCTTTGAAGGGAAGATCCCTCCCTATACTCTGGATATTTGGTTTTACACTATGAGATTGTATATCTTACCTGGTTCTCAAAGGCAGTTGTCCTCAGCTGTCATATCTGGTGTAAAGCAGCAAAGAATGAAAGCCTGGAGGAGAATTTTTGTAAAGAGAGTCCACTTCTACAAGTACCCATTACTTTAACATTCACCTAGCCATCCATCCATCGATCCGTCCATCCATCGATCCATCCATCCATCTATACATGTGAATGATAGAGCAACAGGGAGAGCAAGAAATCTTCCATCCAGTGGTTCACTCCCTGAATTTTGGCAACTACCAGGACTGGACCAGGCTGAATCAGGAGCCTGGAACTCCATCTGGGTCTCTAACAAGTGTAGCATAAACCCAGGCATCATTGCCATAATCTGCTGCCATGCAGGCACACCAGTAAGAAGCTGGATTTGAATAATGGATGAGTTCTGATCCCTAGATACTCTGATGTCATCCTGTCACACCACAATGCCCACCATCCATGTATTCATTTTTCCCCCCAATCCTGGGGTTTATTGATTGCATTAAAATTTCTAAAAATTTTAAGTGTTTTTTTTAATTTTAACTTTTAATTAGTTTTTAACAGACTCATTTTACTTTGTACATGTAATCCTAAGGACCTAATAACTTTCCCCTCCACCTTTACATTCTCCCCATCTCTCCCTCCCAAACTCCCCCCCCCCTTTTTCTTTAGTTTTTGAGATAACATTTCAAATTTACATTACAGTACAAAGGCTTAACACTTCCCAGAATAAGAAGTTTAACAAGTAAAAAGCAAAAGACCCTAGTTTAGTGGGAAAAATAGACAATGGGTATAAAAATAATGTACAATAAATTTTGAAGTAGTCACAGATCATTGAAACTAGAGTAATAGAACACATTTAACCACTGGTTTCACAAAGATATATAACAAATGTTTACAAAATAGTATTCTCAATAATGCTAATACACACAGACATTTTTTCTTTATTCTATTTTTAATTTTAACCCCTACAAATAAAGGAGAGCATGCAGTATTTGTCTTTCTAGGTCTGGTTTATTTCAGTCATCATGGTGTCCTCCAGTGGCATCCATTTGGCTTCAAATGGTAGAATTTTCTTCTCTTCTTTATACCTGAATAATATTGCATTGTGTATATCTACCACATTTTCTTTATCCATTTTTCTGATGGTGGACAGCTTCATTGATTCCCAATGTTGGCTCTTGTGAAGAGCTTCTATGAACATAATTATGAAGGTATCTCTTAATAGCATTCAAGTCTTTGAGATATACCCAATGTGGGATTGTTGGATCCTATGGCAAATCTAGTTCTAATTTTTTTTCTTTTTCAGATATCTCCACACTATTTTCCACAGGGGCTTCAGTAATTTATATTTCCACCAATAGTGTATAAGTGTTCCCCTTTCTCTACATCCTCACCAGCACTTGTTGCTCTCTGTTTTGGATTTTAGCCATTCTGACAGGGGTGAGGTGATAGCTCATTGTGGTTTTGATTTGCATTTCCCTGATGGTTTGAGATGCTGAGCCTGTTTTCACATATTTGTTGGCCATTTGTATTTCTTCTTTTGAGAACCGTCTATTAAAGTCCTTTGCCCATTTCTCAACTGGATTATTTATTATTGTTGAGTTTTTAAAGTTACTAATATATCTGGAATATTAATCCTTTGTCAGAAAAGTGATTTGCAAATATTTCCCCATTCGTTTGGATGTCTCTTCACTCTATTGATTATTTTCTTTGCTGTGCAAAAGCTTCTGAGTCTGACATAGCCCCATTTATTTAGTTCTGCTTTCGTTGGCTGTGCTTGGGGATCTTATCCAATAAGCCATCCCCGACAGCAATGTCTTGGAGTGATTTTGCTATGTGTTCTTCCAGCAACTTCATAGTTTCAGGTCTAAAATTTAAGTCTTTTATCCATCTTGAGTTTATTTTTGAATATGGTGATAGGTATGGATCTAATTTCATTCTTGTACACATATAAATCCAGTTTTGCCTGCACCATTTGTTCAAGAGACTATCCTTACTTCCACTGTTTGGTCTGAGCACTTTTGTCAAAAATCAGTTGGCTTGTATGTATACGGATTAATTTCTGGGCTTTCTGTTCAGTTCCATCATTCTATGTATTGTTTTTTTTTTAACTTTTATTTAATGAATATAAATTTCCAAAGTACAGCTTATGGATTACAATGTCCCCCCCCGCCGTAATTTCCCTCCCACCCACAACCCTCCCCTTTCCCGCTCCCTCTCCCCTTCCATTCACATCAAGATTTATTTTCAATTCTCTTTATATACAGAAGATCAATTTAGTATAAATTAAGTAAAGATTTAATCAGTTTGCACCCACACAGAAAAACAAAGTATAAAGTACTGTTTGAGTGCTAGTTATAGCATTAAATCACAATGTACAGCACATTAAGGACAGAGATCCTACATGAGGAGTAAGTGCACAGTGACTCCTGTTGTTGACTTAACAAATTGACACTCTTGTTTATGGCATCAGTAATCACCCTAGGCTCTTGTCATGAGTTGCCAAGGCTATGGAAGCCATTTGAGTTCACCAACTCTGATTATATTTAGACAAGGTCATAGTCAAAGTGGAAGTTCTCTCTTCCCTTCAGAGAAAGGTACCTCCTTCTTTGATGATCTGTTCTTTCCAATGGGATCTCACTCGCAGAGATGTATTGGTTTTTATGCCAGTACTATGCTGCTTTGATCACTATAGCTTTGTAGTATGCTTTGAAGTCAGGTAGATGCCTCCAGCTTGACTTTTCTCATTCAGGATTACTTTCACTATTCTGGGTCTTTTGTGATTCCATACAAATTTTAGGATTGCTTTTTCTAGTTTTGTAAAGAATGTCATTGGTAGTTTGATAGGGATTGCACTGAATCTGTAGATTGCTTATATAGAATAGACATTTTAATGATTTTGAATCTTTCAATCCATGAGCAAGTGGTATCCGTTTTTTGGAGTCCTTAATGACCTCTTCTTCAATGTTTGATACTTTTCATTGTATACACCTTTCACTTCTTTGGCTCAATTTATTCCTAAACAGTTGATTTTTTGGTGCCTATTGTGAATGAAATTTCTTTTTTCTTTGTTGACAGTGAATGAAATTTCTTTCTTGGTTTCTTTTTCTGTGAGTTCATCATTAACCTAGAAAAAGCACTTGATTTTGTATATTTATTTTGTAACTTGCAACTTTACTGAATTGGTTTATCAATTCTAACAGCTTTTTGGTGGAGTGTTTAGGTTTGTCCACATAAATCATGTCATCTAAAAACACATATGATCTTGCTGAAATTGCTTTACAAAAATGTTCTCTATAAAGTTACGGTTTCTTTAACATGAAAGTAAGGAACTTTTCAAGAAGGACATCTCATTTTTTCTATGTAAAACGTATACTATTAAATATTTTTGAGTATAATATAAGATAATATCATCTATTATACATAGGAAATATATATATATAGGGGGACTATTGAGGAAAATAATATTACATTGGTAGTTCCTTCATTCAAATTATGTAAGAATGCGATTTATACTTTATGTAATTTTTATTTATGATAACATAAGATTCTACCAGTAACTGTTCTTTCCAACATATTGTAGTGAGTTATTCTCCCCCCCCCCCCATATTCTACTTGGTGATGCTGTTGACACATTGTTCAATTTCTAAAGTTTGCCCTTCAGGATCTTGACACCTCAACTTCATGGGGAAGATCTTTTCAGAACACTGAACAATATAGGAGTCAACAAAATTTTTTCTTCATGCCAGAATAAAGGTATTTATATTACTTTATCATGATCTCCATCAACTATTTATTATGTCATGTATAGGAGTATTTAAAGCCTGTTGGGATATTTTATTAGATAATAACTTTTATATAACATATTTAAGTAAGAATATTCTAGAGACAGCTGCAACATATTTTGAAATATTTCTTCACATTTCATAATTAAGTGGATAATTAAAATTAATAACTTCTTAGAACTGTATTTGTGAATTGTATGAAATGTGTTTATATTAAATAATTTTTAAAAAATATGAAACTTAAAAACAAATGTTTCAAAATTTGACCACATTTTTACAACATGTATTTTAAAGGCAGAGATGGAGAGAGGGAGGGAGAGACAGAGAGGTTCATTTGCGTCTTCACTCCCCAAATGGACACAATGGACAGGGCTGGGCCTGGCCAAAGCCAGAGCCTGGAACTCCACCCAGGTCTCCTACATGGGTGTTAGGGGCCCACTCAGGCTGTCTCTCGCTGCTTTCCCAGGTGCTTTATCAGAGAGCTGCAATGAAAGCGGAGCAGTCGATGCCTTAATATAGGATGCTGGCATCAGAGAAGCTGTTTACCTTGCTGGTCTACAATGCATGCCCCATTGCTAACTTCCTAAAAGAAATGAAAATTAAAGAGTTATACATTGGTTTCCTTATTTCTCATTCTAGAAAGTCATGCATCTAACAATTGAATTTGAAAAGTAGAATTTTCTGAATACTCGTGTCCATATGAATACAGTACTGTTGTGTTATTATAATATACACAGGATGGTTTTTTTATCTAATGTTTTCCCAGTAGAATTTTTACATGACATTATGACAATACCACTTTCTTTACTTATTTGCTTAATATTCCATGATGAAAATACCATGTAATACTTAAAAATTAGTTTTTCTAGAAGTGGGTAATGGAAAATTCAGTTTATGGAAACACATGAAAGTGAAAAAAATCATCTTTTATAAAGTACAGAGTTGTTCTAGTAAGTACAAAGTCATTCATTTATTGTAAAATCTGACTTGACTTGTTTTAACCTTTGTACTAATTAAACGCCACCTTCTAAAATAATATGTATGAAACAGATTAATGCTAAATGTACTTTTTAATCATATTTCCCTATTAGGTTAACATAAAATCACTAGGAATTTTGTTTAATATATGTGACTGTTTTTCTATTTAAGCCATCTTCAAGTTTGGTCTAGTCTTTAAAAGAATTAAGGACCATATTTTTAACTGATACTTTATTCCCATGATAATGTAACTAGTTTAACTTAAATATTATACATAAAATTTTATTTCAGATGTGGAAAGCACAACACAATTTAAGTAGCAAACGAGATGGAGGTAAGTTGTCAAATTTTGTGAATGCATTGATTTATGACATAAACTGTAAGTAGCAAGTGGCATCCCTTTTTATTTTTGGTTCACTACTTTAGATAAAGCTAATGAACTATGTGAACATATCAACATTATAATGAGGAATTTATTTATTATATAGTCTTCATATCCCATAGCTTAAAATATCTCAAAATGGTTTATGGGCTTCTCTTTTTCTGACTCTACACTTTGTACGCTTCTGCTGTCTCTGTGATACTGTCAGCCTACCTACGAAAGCTGTTTTCAGAAGACAGTGGCATCATCAGCTTCTTAAGTGCTTCGTAGTGACATAAGGGCCATTTTAAGTCCTTGTCATAGCCAGTCAAGCAAAGTTCGTAAGCAGCTGCTTGACAGTAGACTTAACATCTGGGCTCATTTACTTTTACCCTCAAGAAAGTTTCCAAAATCCTTAGCAAGGAACAAAAACACAAATCCATTTGTCAAGACTAACCAGCCTACTTATGATACCACAAGTTCTCTTCCTGAGCTCTGTCTCTTTGCATTCAGTCTGCTTTCCATCTATCAGGTATACTTTTTCCTTGTACTGTCAACTTCCATGACACTGCCACTAAAAAAACCTGCAGTAATGACATAAAATTAGAAACAATTTCTCTTCTGTGTGTGTTATGATAGTGCCCTACTTTATTCCTATCCCCATAGGGAAGTTGCCTCTTCATCTATATTTTTTAAAGATGTATTTATTTATTTAAAAGTTACAGTTCCACACAGAAAGGGAGGTAGAGAGAGAGAGGTCTTCCATCCACTGGTTTCCTCCCCAATTGGCCATCATGGCTGGAGCCAGGAGCTTCCTCTGGGTCTTCCCATGCAGGTGCGGGGACCCAAGGACTTGGGTCATCTTCTGCTTTCCCAGGCATAGTAGAGAGCTGGATCAGAAGTGGAGCAGCTGGGACTTGAACTGGTGCCCATATAGGATGTGGTGGCTTTACCCTCTCTGCCATAGCTCTGGCCCCTTCATCTATATTTTTAGACATAGCATATGGTTATTTAGAGATGGACAGTATTATCTTCATCTTTAATCACATTGTTAAGCTGAGGAAAGAATGAAAAAGAAGAAAAATACAGGATCACTGATATTTAACTCACAGTAATAATTCCATTGTGTAAATATAGACAAATTATATCTAATATTAATTTTGTACTTTAGTAATATATACAAATTTTTCTTGAAATTATCAACTTGTACTGATTTAAGAAGTTAATTATGACATCTTTGATATTAAAAAATGGAATTCTTTCTTTTTTTTCCAGCTACTGAGGAACTTAAAAAGTGACCTAGGAACCAACGAGTCCAGTTTAAGTCAACGTGTATTTTTAAAAGTGTCAAAAGAATATGTACACATTTTAAAGAAAAAATATGCTCTGTATTACAAACAATTACTGACCACTGCTATGTAACACATTTACCATTTACTTATGCTCTATATTATAAAATTTTACTGACCACTGCTTATGGAACACACCTGTTATTTCTTTTTAAATATATTATGTGGGAAAATCTTCATTAACTGAAACATTTAGTGTTATGTATCTACAATTGAAATTTTGTATTTCCAATTTATATTTTTGAAAAGATAGAGATAGTGGTAAGGGAGGGAGCAAGAAAAAGGGAAAGGGGAAAAGAGGGGGAAAACAGAGAGATCCCCCTTCCAATAGTACAGTACCCATATATCTGCAGTGAAATATAGGTGGGCTGTGCTGAAGCCAGGATCCAGGAATTCAATTCAGGTATCCTACTTATGTGGCAAGGATCCAATTACTTGTTCTATCACTCGCCACTTCCCAGAGTACACATTATTGGAAGCTGGAATCAGGATGGGAGCCTGGTCTTGCTAGGGATTCCACCAGGGATTCAGGATATTTCAAACGGCACCTTAACTTCTGTTCCCAATGGCAGGCCAGTTGCAGCACATGAAACTGTTGGGATGTATAACTAACTTAGCACAGATTTTGCAGATGAAAACCAGTATGATTAACTTTTACAAACTCAGTTGTCCAAATGGTGGCCATTATACAGCACCCAGAAAACCAAGTTGAATTGAATACTTTAGTGGGATTAAGGGCTTCTTTGTATTTGCCAATTTTTGCTACTACATACAAACCTAATGATTTGGTAGACATCATTTTGGTACACTGATACTCTGGCCAGTGTCAATACCATTGCTTGGATGCAATATAATTTTATAGTGCTACCAAAATTATGTAATTTTAACTTTAGGCATTGATTCATACACCTTCTTCATGGAGAAATTGTTTACCTATGGCTTTCCATGTTTCCTTTTTAATTTTTATTACCTTTTAGGAAACAGTCTTAAAATTTAAAAAAAAATTAAGTTTTAGTACAAATAATTTGCCCTCTTAAAGAAAGTGAGAGTCATCTGCTGACATTATGCCATCACCTCTGACTACTTTGGAATATATTTCCTATAGTTAAGGACATACTAAATACAATAAAACACTCAGAATCACAAAGTTAACATTATTCTGTGTATCTGCAGATTTTTTTCCAGTTTTGTTACATGTCTTGTGATGTCCTTGATAATAAGAGAGTCCCACTCAGATCCATGAATTTCTTTTAGTTGTTGCCTTTCTTAGATTTCTTCAGTCTGGAGGAGTTCCTTCCTTTTCTTTGACATTAATGACCATGGATCTTTTGAAGACTAAATTCCAATCATGCAGAATGTCCCTGATTGGATATTTTCTGATATTTCAGTATAATTAGGTTAGGATTATACACTTTTTGTTAAGGGCATAACAGAAGGGATTCTGTGATCATTGCATACTGTCATGTAACCTACACTTTTGATTTCTCCCATTACTAGTGATGTTGCTGATGCTGTCTGTTGCATTTCTCCTCTGTAGTGTTCCCTTTTTTACATTTCACTTAGTTTTAATCAGGTTACGTCATTTGAGACTAAATATCTGTCCTTTCTCAATTTTTTATGATTCAATTTTTATGTTTTTTATTTTTTAGAAAACATTTAATAAATATAAATTTTGAAAGTGCAACTTTGGGATTATAGCTGTTTTTCCCCACATAACCACCCTTCCATCCAAAAATCATCCCACCTCCTATTCCCTCTCCCATCTCATTCTTCATTAAGATTATTTTTAATTATCTTTATATACAGAAGATCAACTTAGTATATACTAAGTAAAGATTTCAACAATTTGTACCCACACAGACACACAAAGTATACAGTACTGTTTGAAAAATATTTTTACCATTAATTCTCATAGTACAACACATTAAACACAGATCCTACATGGGGAGTAAGTGCACAGGGACTCTTGTTTTTGATTTAACAATTGATACTCTTACATTTATGACATCAGTAATAACCTGAGGCTCTTGTCATGAGCTGTCAAGGTTATGGAAGCCTCTTGAGTTCAAAAACCCCAACCTTATTTAGACAAGACCATAACCAAGTGGAAATTCTCCCCTCCGTTCAGAGAAAGGTACCTCCTTCATTGATGGCCCATTGTTTCTGCTGGGCTCTCACTCACAGTGATCTTTCATTTAGGTCATTTTTTGCCACAGTGTCTTGGCTTTCCATGCCTGAGAAACTATCATGAGATTTTTAGCCAGATCTGAATACCTTAAGGGCTGATTCTGAGGCCAGAGTGCTGTTTAGGGCATTTGCCATTGTATGAGTCTGCTGTGTATATTGTATACTGCTTCCCATGTTGAGTCATTCTCTCCTTTTTAATTCTATCAAGTATTAGCAGACACTGGTCTTATTTATGTGATCCCTTTGACACTTAATACTATCTTTATGATTAATTATGAACGTAAACTGATCACTTTAACTAGTAATGGCATTGGTACCTGCCAACTTAATGGGATTTGGAGTCCATAGCATGTTTTTAGCTTTACCTTTAGGGGTAAGTTCAAGTGAGCCTCTGCCGAACTGCACATCTCTTCCCTCTCATTGCCATTCTTATTTTTAACAGGCATAAATTTTCAGTTGGATTCTAACTGCTAAGAATAATTGTGTGTTAAATAAAGAGATTGATCAATGGTATTAAGTAGAAAAAGAAAATACTAAATAAAATAGTAAGTTTTTCCTTGACAGTAAGGACACGGGCTGATCAAATCTCTGTTCCTCATAGTGTCAGTTTCACTTCCACCATTTTCTATGTAGGTGCTTGGTTAGTTGTCACAGATCAGGGAGAACATATGATATTTGTCCCTTTGGGACTGGATTAATTCACTCAGCCTGGTGTTTACCAGATTCCTCCATTTTGTTGCAAATGACTGGATTTCATTTCTTTTATTGAAGAGTAGTATTCTACAGAGTACATATCAAATAATTTCTTTATCCAGTCTACTGTTGATGGGCATTTGGGTTGATTCCATGTCTTAGCTATTGTGAATTGAGCTTCAATAAACATTGAGGTTCAGACAACTCTTTTATTTGCCAATTTAATTTCCTTTGGGTAAATTCCAAGGAGTGGGATGGCTGGGTTGTATGGTAGGGTTATATTCAGGTTTCTGAGGAATCTCCAGACTGACTTCCATAGTGGCTTGACCAGTTTGCATTCCCACCAACAGCAGGTTAGTGTCCCTTTTTCCCCAAATCCTCACCGATATGTGTTATTGGTAGATTTCTGTACATAAGCCATTCTAACTGGGGTGAGGTGAAACCTCATTGCAGTTTTGATTTGCATTTCCCTGATGGCTAGTGATCCTGATCATTTTTTCATGTGTCAGTGGCTGTTTGGATTTCTTCTTTTGAAAAATGTCTATTGAGGTCCTTGGCCCATCTCTTGAATGGATTGTTTTGTTGTTGTGGCGTTTCTTGATCTCTTTGTAGATTCTGGTTATTAATCCTTTATCAGTTGCATAATTTGCAATTATTTTCTCCCATTCTGTTGATTGCCTGTTCACTTTAATGACCTTTTCTTTTGCAGTACAGAAACTTCTCAATTTGATGTAATCCCATTTGTTAATTTTGGCTTTGTCTACCTGTGCCTTTGGGGGCTTTTCCAAGAAGTCTTTGCCTGTGCCTATATCTTGCAGAGTTTCTCCGATGTTCTCTAATAATTTGATGGTTCCAGGTTTTGGTTTTGATCTTTAATCCATGTTAACTGGATTTTTGTATAAGGTGTAAGGTAGGGGTTTTGCCTCATACTTCTGCATGTGGAAATCCAGTTTTCCCAGCACCATTTGTTGAAGAGACTGTTCTTGCTCTGGGAATAGGTTTTAGCTGCTTGATCAAATATAAGTTGGTTGTAGATGTTTGGACTGGTGTCTAGTATTTTTACTCTGTTCCATTGGTCTTGCCATCTGTTTCTATATCAGTACTGTGGTGTTTTGATTGTAACTGCCCTGTAGTCTGTAGTATGTCTCGAAATCTGGTATTGTGATGCCTCTGGCTCTGTTTTTGTTGTATAAGATTCTCTGGCTATTCGAGGTCTCCTGTGCCTCCATGTGAATTTCAGCATCATTTTATCCAGATCTGAGAAGAATATCTTTGGTATTTTGATTGGTATTGCATTGAATCTATAAATTGCTGTTGGAAGAATGGACATTTTGATGATATTGATTCTTCCAATCCATGAGCATGGAAGATTTTCCCACTTTTTGGTATCCTCTTCTCTTTCTTTAAAGTTTTGTAATTCTCATCATAGACATCTTTGATATCCTTAGCTAACTTTTTTCCAAGGTATTTGCTTTTTTATTGTTGCTGTTTTGAATGAGATAGATAGAAGTTCTTTCTCAGCCATGGCATTGTCTGTTTTTAGAAAAGATGTTGATTTTTGTGCATTGATTTTATATCCTGCTACTTTGCCAAACTCTTCTATGAGTTCCAATAGTCTCTTAGAGGAATTCTTTGGATCCCCTAAATAAAGGATCACATTGTCTGCAAAGAAGGATAATTTTAATCCTTCCCAATTTGTATCCCTTTAATTTCTTTTTCTTGCCTAATGGCTCTGGCTAAAACTTCCAGTACTAAACTGAATAGCAATGGTGAGAGTGGGCATCCCTGTCTAGTAACAGATCTGAAATGCTATGGTATCAGCCTTGGATTTTTCATAAATTACCTTGATTGTGTTGCAGAATGTTCCTTTTATACCCAATTTGTTTATGTTTTCATCATGAAAGGGTGTTGTATTTTATCGAATGCTTTCTCTGCATCTATTGAGATAATCATATGGTTTTTCTTCTGTAGTTGGTTAATGTGGTGTATCACCTTGATTGATTTGCGAACGATGAACCATCCCTGCATACCAGGGATAAAATCCCACATCTTTCTGATGTGTTGTTGCATTCTATTAGCCAGAAATTTATTGAGGATTTTGACCTCTATCCATCAGGGAAATTGGTCTGTAATTCTCTTGGCTGCATCTTTTTCAGGTTCAGGAATTGAGGTGATTCTGGTGTCATAGAAAGAATGTGGGAGGATTCCCTCTCTTTCAATTGTTTTAAATAGTTTGAGGAGAATTGGAGTTAGTTCTTCTTTAAATGTCTGGTAGAATTCAGCAGTGAATTCATCTGGTCCTTGGCATTTCTTTGTAGGGAGGGCCTTTATTAATGATTCAATTTCTGACTTGCTTATGAGTCTGTTTAGGTTTTCTGTGTCTTCATAGTTCAATTTAGGTAGGTTGTATGTGTTCAGCAATCTATCCATTTCTGCTAGATTTCCCTGCTTGTTGGCATACAACTCTTTGTAGTAATTTCTGATGACTCCTTATTTCTGTGGTGTCTGTTATGACATTCCCTTTTTCATCTCTGATTTTATTGATGTGGGTCTTTTTTTTTAGCTAGTTGGGCCAATGGGGTGTCAATTTTATTTATTTTTTCAAATAAACAGCTCTTCATTTTGCTGAACTTTGGTAATTTTTTTGGATTCAATCCTGTTGATTTCCTCTCTAATTTTAATTATTTCTCTTCTACTAGTTTTGGGTCTGGTTTGCTGCAGTTTTTCTAGATCCTTGAGATGCATTGATAACTCATTTATTTGGTGCTTTCCAATTTCTTGATGTAGGCACCTATTGATAGAAACTTTCCTCTTAACACTGCTTTTGCTGTATCCCATAAATTTTGGTATGTTGTGTTGTTATCATTTACTTCCAGAAAGTTTTGATTTCTCTTTTTGATTTCTGTATGACCCACTGTTCAATTTGGAGCATGTTGTTCAGTCTCCATGTGCTTGCATATGCTCTGGAGATTCCTGAGTTGCTGATTTCTAGCTTTATTCCAGTGTGGTCTGAGAGACGCCTGTATGATTTTGATTCTTTTGAATTTGCTAATTTCTGATGACTCCTTATTTCTGTGGTGTCTGTTATGACATTCAGCCAACCCGGGAAGGACCAGCAGCCAACCCTGGAAGAACCAGCAGCAAACCCGGGAAGGGCCGAGCAGACGAAAGAACAGCGCAGGGTCCTGTGTCGTTCCTCCACGAAGACGGGGAGCGACATAATGGTGCCGTGACTCGGATATGAAGCCTAGGCAGGGCTTAGTGTCGTTCCTCCATGAAGAGGGGGAGCGACAAGATCCTTGAGATGCATTGATAACTCATTTATTTGGTGCTTTCCAATTTCTTGATGTAGGCACCTATTGATATAAACTTTCCTCTTAACACTGCTTTTGCTGTATCCCATAAATTTTGATATGTTGTATTGTTATCATTTACTTCCAGAAAGTTTTGATTTCTCTTTTTGATTTCTGTATGACCCACTGTTCAATTTGGAGCATGTTGTTCAGTCTCCATGTGCTTGCATATGCTCTGGAGATTCCTGAGTTGCTGATTTCTAGCTTTATTCCAGTGTGGTCTGAGAGACGCCTGTATGATTTTGATTCTTTTGAATTTGCTAAGACTTGCTTTATGGCCTAGTATGTAGTCAGTCCTAGAGTAGGTTCCATGTACTGCTGAGAAGAATTTATATTCTTTAAGTGCAGGATGAAAAGTTTTATAGATATCTGTTAGATCCATTTGGTCTATATGTCAATTAAATCTACTGTTTCTTTGTTGATTTTCTGTCTGGTTGATCTGTCCTTTGCTGAAAGTGAAGTATTGAATTCCCCCACTACTACTGTATTGGAGTCTTAGTCTCCTTTCAGTCTCTTAACATATCTTTTAAATATCCCGGTGCCCTGTAACTATGTGCATAAATGTTTATAATAGTTACATCTTCCTGTTGGATTGATCCCTTAATCATTATTTAGTGTCCCTTTTTGTTTTCTTTTAACAGTTTTGTTGTTAAAGTCTATTTTGGCTGATATTAATATGGCTATGCCAGCTCATTTTTCATTTTGGTTGGCATGGAATATCTTTTGCCAACCTTTCACTTTCAGTCTGTATGCACCTTTGTTGGAAAGATGTGTTTCTTGTAAGCTGCAAGTAGATGGGTTTTGTTCCTTAATCCATTCAGCCAGTCCTCAAATTTTGACTGGAGAGTTGAAGCTATTTACGTTCATTATGACTATTGGTAAGTAGTGACTTGCCCTGTCATTTTTCCAAAGATATTTCTAATATATATTTGAACTTCCTGTAATCTTTTACTGAGAGATTTTTTTTCCTTTACCTTCTTTCATGTTGATGACAGTGTTTCTGTGTGTAACACATTTTAAGCATTTTTTGCAGGGCTGAATGAGTGGTGACAAATTCTTTCAATTTCTGTTTGCTATGAAAGGTCTTTATTTCACCTTCATTCACAAATGAGAGCTTTGCAGGATATAACATTCTGGGCTGGCAGTTTTTTCTCTTAGTGCTTGGGCTATATCTCGCCATTCTCTCCTAGCCTGTAGGGTTTCTGATGAGAAGTCTGCTGTGAGTCTAATTGGAGATTCTCTGATGGTAATCTGGCAATACTCTTGCACATTTTAGAATCTTTTCTTTATGTTTCACTGTGGTGAGTTTGATTACAATGTGTCATGGAGAGTATCTGTCCTGGTCCTGTCTACTGGGAGTTCTGTGTGCTTCCTGTACTTGAGGTCTCTTTCTTTCTCCAAACTTATGAAGGTTTCTACTAGTATCTCACTAAAAAGGCCTTCTAATCCTTTTTCTCTCCGTGCCTTCAAGAAGTCCCAGAACCCAAATGTTGGGTTTTTTAATAGTATCCTGTAGATTCCCAATAATATTTTTTAGATTTCTAATTTCCTCTTCTTGTCTTTGGTTTGACTGTATACTTTGCTGTGCTCTGTCTTCTAAGTCTGATATTCTCTCTTTTGCCTCACTGATTCTGTTTTTAAGACTCTCAACTGGGGCCGGCGCCGTGGCTCAATAGGCTAATCCTCCACCTTGCGGCGCCGGCACACCGGGTTCTAGTCCCGGTCGGGGCGCCGGATTCTGTCCCGGTTGCCCCTCTTCCAGGCCAGCTCTCTGCTATGGCCAGGGAGTGCAGTGGAGGATGGCCCAGGTGCTTGGGCCCTGCACCCCACGGGAGACCAGGAAAAGCACCTGGCTCCTGGCTCCTGCCATCGGATCAGCGCGGTGCGCCGGCTGCAGCGGCGGCCATTGGAGGGTGAACCAACGGCAAAAGGAAGACCTTTCTCTCTCTGTCTCTCTCTCTCACTGTCCACTCTGCCTGTCAAAAATAAAAAAAAAAAAGACTCTCAACTGTATGTTTTATTTGTTCTTCTGAATTCTTCATTTCATTTTGATTTCTCTTCAATATCTCAATTCCATGTTCTATTGGATTCCTCATTTCATTTTGATTCTTCCAAAGATTTCATTTTCTTGAGAGAGATTTTCTTTCATGTCCTGCATGGATTTCAGTAGTCCATGCATTTGTTTTTGATTACTTCTAAGTATTCTAATCATCAAATTTTTGAGTTCCATTTATTGCATTTCTTCTTTCTCATCGACTTCATAATCTTGTATTGAAGTGTCATGTTCTTTTTTTTTTTTTTGACAGGCAAAGTTAGACAGTGAGAGAGAGACAGAGACAGAGAGAACGGTCTTCCTTCCATTGG